TGCACCGTACCGCAACCCAGCTGGGCATCCAGCGGCACCTGCCGCTGCTGGCGGCCACGCCCGCGTCGGACGCCGCAGCGGCGAAGAAGCTGTGGGCGGCTGCACGGCAGCAGGCGCTGGGTGAATGGCATCAGGAACGGTGGGAAGCTAATTGACACATGTTTGAAAGAAGGGCAAGGCACTCACAAGAAAAAACTATTATATATAGGGCGATGGAGAAAAGAACAGATATATATATATATACAGTATATATATATATGCACAGTACAGCAATTTGGTCCACATATAAGTAATTACAAAGTGTTTGAGTAATACCCAGAGACCTCAATGTCTTTAGCTTCTTGCTTTTCTCACTTTGCTTGCCCGCAAGCTGGCGTTGAGTTCGTCGTACTACTTCCATGAGGATGGCTGTTGGATAGTACAGGGAGGACATTTGCGTTTAAATGGCACCTCTCCCCAACCCCTGAGACACAATCAAAGAACCACTCCATCACTCCGACAATCATTTTGCCCAGTTCATTTGGAAAATAGATGCAGGAACCCCGATGGATCCAACCAGTCCATCGTAAATTTGCATGGGGGCCCGTGCACGAAGTCGTTTGGTTCGGTGCCAACGACTTGTTTCGACTCGGTGGGTGCCTTCTTATTCTCCCAGGTGGCCTTGAACTCCTCCTTCGTGGTGAAACCACGGCATGGCTCCAACTCCAAGTACGTGGCCATGTGGCCCTGCCCAGCCCAGGTGCGGAGCGGCCTGGACGAGTCATGGGGAGTGGCGAGTGAGAGTGTCAGGCAAGGGTTGAGACCAGAGAAGAGGTTATATGAAGTTATATGGTTATTCGGTCGTAGCATGTTGACCAACCAAATTGGTGGAAGGGCACCAAATGGTTCAAGGGGAAAGATGAGAGATGATGAGTGCGGGGATTTATTGTAGCCTTGTATGCATACCGTATCCGGAGGATTTGCTACCATCCTTTTCCTGACTGAAATGGGCAGTAGCTGAATTTCTTTGATGTCACTGTTTCGGGGTCCAACTCACTCGAGAGATGGCGCAGGCCAATGAAGAGGCCATCCTGGAGAGCATTGAGGCCGCATTATGTGCCGAGGATCCATCTTGGCGGAGAGAATCTTGGAACCAAAATGCAGTGACCAAAGGCGCTGTGCTGCAGCCGCTCTATGCTTTGATGGCCGATGTCCTGGAGACGGGGGAGAAGGACTTGACCAAGTTGCAGAAACCCTTGGAATTGAAAGTGCAGGTCTTGTTTGGTGAGGTGGTGGGCGCATGCTTAAACTCTCACCCCATGTATTTGTGGGTGACCCGAGATGGCGAGGTGATTCAGTGGGATCCAAAAACAATAGGCCTCTTGAAGAAAGGCCATGGGCTTTGGGAAGATCTCCCTCCCCAGATTTTCTACCTTCTCGTGACGTCTTTGTCTGAGCACTGGCCACAAATCCGTCAAGACTCGGAAGCGGTGGCCCACGGCTTGGATGAACTGCGGGTCGATTGGCTCTTGGGGGATCCAGTTTGGGGTCCACGAATCGGAGAGTTGACCTACATGGGAACCATGGCGCTGGATGTCTTCCCCGTGTCCTGGCGCTTGGCCAAAGCCTTTGCTGCAGCCCACTTGAGCCGACGTGAAGACCGACGACTGGAGCCTTTCGGGTAGAGCAAGGTTGGAGGATTCTGTGATGGAGTGCACTAGCTTTTTTGTAAGCAGGAAGCGGCAGTCTCTGTCAGACAAAGATCTGAGAGTTGTCTAACTAGACAAAGCCAGATCTGTGGACTGTGTGTCCTGTGTGGCGTCACGACTGGCGATGGCGAGAAAGGTTCGACTTGCATGCTTAAATCCATGGCACGAGAATAGAAGGAATCGTGTCACTGGGAATCGGTTGACCTGCAGCAACCAGAAGCTTTTTAGTATGTCTTTGAAGCTTCTTAGTAACAATAAAGCTTTCTAGCAACTAGAAGCTACTAGGTGGAGGCCATCGCTATTAGGTTGGAGGCCATTGCTACTAGTAACACTAAAGCCTTCTAGATCTTTCTAGTAACTAGAAGCTTCCTTGGGAATCGTTTCAACTCCTTTGGATCATTCCAATTTCTAAGCTTGACGTCCGCCACCAGCCTCTGGAGGAGGACCGACGACTAAAAGTCGGTGAGTTGGTTGAAGTCAAGTCCTGGATGAAGAAGCACGAGCAGTGGCGGCCTCAGCCACGATTCTTGGTTTGTTTGGACGGAATGCAGCATTGGGATGATTGCCATGCCATGGTCCAACTAGTCAGCATACCTTGCCAGCTCGGGCGAGCATTGCACAACAGAAGAGCATTGCCTGGGTGATAGAGCTTTGCCAGGATGGGCCTCAAGCGCTTGCGCTGCAAGGCTCTCTCGGATGGTGCCATTGGCTGGGCCACCGTTGGGTGCTCGGGGTGTGCTTGGCACACGAGTGCTTAGGCTTAGGAAGATCCACTCCTTTGCGATATGTTTGCACATGCTTGCTCATGTGTACCTTTTTCAAACGGAGCTGCAACATGAACCCGTGGTCTATGACTTGTGAAAACCTCATTGCCAACTGGCCAATAGCATATACTCTCCCCAGACCTTAAACAGTCTGTTCAACTAACATCACCGCTTTAATGTTTAGTGGAGGGTATGCATGTCAATGTCTGGTCAAGACAAACTTCTTCCTCGTTAGTTCAGATTGTCTAAACTTCCTTGTTTGTCAGTATAGGCTATGTTTCTCAAGTGCATTTTACCAAGCAAGGGCACCTATATACTGTACCAAACTTTTTGCAAACTTCCAGGCAGGTTAAGTTCACTTGAAGGCTTTGAGAGCTTCTTCTTTTTCTGTTGGTTGGACTGCGGTACGAATGGGTACGATAGTTGACACAGCAGGTGCCCTGTCATACCATATAACAATAAGGCACTTCGTATTTTGGGATTGCCCTTGCCGACTGACTGTCTGATTCAAGCAGGAATTTGGTTTACCAGGAAGTGTTGCACCGTTGCAGCATACATGCTCGAATCACCCAACCAGGAATTGCAATTCAGCCACACGAGGAAGTGTTCCTTGGGTTTTGCATTTTTTGTTTGCCCCGACGTGTGAGAATGGATGGGGCCCTGGCTTACCTGGTTTTCCTCCCCCCTCCCCTGGTCATTCCCAGGAGCTGCGTAGTGAAGGTCAGCCTGCCCGGTCAAAATCTGTCAAGTTTTTTAAAATCTCTTTCTATAATAGTTAGCTGATAGATGCTGATAGGGCTTACCTGCTGGTCTATTATTCTTGGTGAATTTACATGGTCGGAAACTTCCTAGTAAGCAGTGTCCCCGGCGAGATTTACTTACTCGTAAGTTCTTGGGGAGTGTAGCGCCAGAGGAACTGTTTGGTGCTGCTCGTGACTCGTCATTTCTTAGGTCGTGGGAAATGCCGGCACGGTCTTCCTGGAGGTCAAGTGACCGCAGGACGATTCGTTGTGCTAAGGCTGCCAGACGACCGCTACTGTCTGCCGAGGGCCTTACGGCCTTACCCCCCAAGTTGCCAAAGAAGGTCTTAGCGGCAAGCACTTTCCTCTAAAATAGTCGTGGTGTCAGCTAGGGCTGACTTGAGAATAGCCTGGTCAAAGAAGCCAATGTGATGGTGCAATGATTTCATGTTGGTTGTGTGAGCACGACATGTGAAAACACTTCTTCGTTCGTCCTGGTTCGGCTTGTGCCAAGCCCGCAGATTGCACCACTCTCACCAGGATTTTGATCCTTGCTTCCCTAGCAGAAGCTGTTGCTCGAATGTTCAGCCTTGCAAGATTTTGATGCTGCAGTGGATCCGCATCCCTGGAACAATGAGACGAAATCCCACCTGCAGATGTCATCATGTCTAGCAGGCCCATTGCCGATGTGGCTTGTCTCCAATGACAATTAGCTAGCGCAGGAAAAAGATTACTTGCAATGCGCCATCCAGGTCCTCTCGCATTGAAAACAGACAGCAAGTGCCCTTACCTTCTTATTTCCTTTAAAACATATATGAGTGTCCAAAGTCTAAGGGATTTGGTTCCTGATTCCTCACCAACTTTGCTTCTTCAGATCTTGGAACGACGGGCTGGTCTTGGAAGCATGACGCAAAGGGTGTGCTCAGGTGCGGCAGGGCACTGCTACAGCTGCTGCAAAAATCTTAGGCGTGGGCTGCGCTTGCTTGCCTTGCATACGTGGGCTGGCTGTGTTCCACAAGTCGCAGCATAGATCCCACAGTGGACCTTTGTGTCATCCCTCGTAGCACTATATAGTTTACATCACCCATTCGAACGCCCAGCCGCTCAGTGCCAGGCAGATACCCTGGCAGAGCCAACGCTTTTGCCTGAGTTTTCAGATGATTTGCTGGAGTTGTCATGGAACAAATCCACAGACGTTCTTGGCATTTGAGGCCGAGATCACAGCAAAGCTTTTGGGACAGCTGCTGTACGATGAGGACCGATGCACCGTACGCCTATACGGCTCAGTGTCCGATGATGATGTCATTTCTAAGCCTTCCAAGGAGATACAACGCCCGTATGGGTCTGTTTGAATTTTGGGAAGATATGGGCATCCCCAGGATCCCCTTGTCCGACGAGAGGCTGCCAAAGGCTGGATTGGCAGTTGGGACTTTGGAGCATCCTTGGTCCTAGTAGTGATGCCCTTTGTTACTAGCGTCCTTGTTCCTAGTTGTAAGGCAAGGAGCTACGTCCTTGTTGCTAGTACAGGGTTCTAACGGGGTTCATGGAGCAAGAAGAGACACTTTCTGGAATCCGTTGCACAACCTTTTGGCTTGCAGGCTTTTGTGCCAGATTAGGGTGAATATGAATAGTCAGTTGACTTTTTTGAAGAAGGAGATGGAAGGGCTTTAGGCGTGACAGATGCATAGTTGTTTGTCCTAGTTCGGCATATCGGCTCTTACTTACATGGCTATAGTCGCATTTTGACCAGTATTCGATTATGGGTGAATCCACCTTTTGAGTCAGCCTTTCTTGCAGCCTCAGCGGTCATGTCCGCTGATCGGCTATGGGCACAAGGAATTCTGGAATACCTGCCAGAAGTCCAGAAGAATCAACAAAGCACTGCTGGCTTGGACTCGTTTGAGGCCTCTGTGTCCCGTGGCAACCGAGAGGGATCGTCCAGGAGATGCAGATACACTAGAAGGCAAACTTATTTGGACTGAGTCAACCTCATTGTACGTTCCATCAGATTTCTGGTGGTAAAAGAGAGTTGACCAGAATGATATAGCCCAATGGGAATCCAGGCTGGTCATGCAAGTGGACGTCTAAGGAATCTGGACGCCAGCGACCCCCAACGAGTGTTCTTCTTGGCCACCAAGCTCTATCATGCAGGGCGCCACCAAGAAGCCGAGTCATGCTACTACAAGGCCCGGGTGAAGCAGGTTGAGGGCCATTGAGGGACCATAATCCTCATGCCTTTGGAGCACTGACGGGTGGGCCACTGGCTGCCGATTGACACATCCAGTGAGGTGTCTTTGCCTTGATTTGTCTTCCAAAGCGGTATTTGTGTGGTCAGGTGCTAGACATGCTTCCAGAGAGTGGCCATGGCTACCTTGAGCTGGTGCTTTTCTTGGAGTCTACTGGCAGGCGCCGGTTCATTCGATGGAATTCAGAAATGACATGGATTGATATACTTGTTGATATAACCATGGAAGTGGCCCCATGACTTTCACAGCCGGTCTGCTGGGAGGCGGGAGGAAGCTCGAGAAGTGGCACAGCGTGCGATTGAACGTGGTGCCCTTTGGGCCAATGAGTGGCAACGATGCCCGATCTTCGTGTCAGGCATGGCAGGGATCTTCAGAGTTCAATTGTACGGTCCTTGTTGACCATGGGTCATTTGCTTGGCGCTGCCACCTAAAACGCAAGAGAGCGCAAGTGAGTTTACTACTTCTACTGCCAAGATGTTGATATTCTGGATTCTTGGAGGCCACCACTATTAGGTTGGAAGTAGGTTGGAGGCCATCGCTGTTCGAACGTCCATGTCTCAAAGAAAGCGGCCATGGTGGACTCTTCTTGTTTCAATTCTAATTAAGTTGATATTAAACTCGACGGCACCGCTTCACCAGGTTTGACCTCGAAGCCCTGGTGGTCTCGGGAGGAGTTCCCTTGGGCCAACGAGCTGGAAGGCGCCTTTCCGGAGATCAAGGCCTGGGACATGGTGGGCACATGACGTATGATATGTAAGCCTTCATCATATGTAAATGTAGGGCCTTAGGATTTTACACTAGGGCAAATAGATAAAGAACAATATAAAACACACACACACATATATATATATATGCTCAATCTACACATGCTATGCTTGTGTATGCATAAGTTTTTTGGGTGTTGCTTCTCAAGAAGACATCGTTTATTGCTTGGTGTGTGTGGGTTTTAAGCAGTGCATCCGGCCGAATCTGGACGTTCACCCCTGGGCCCTGAGGCTGAAGTGGAGGGCTTGCTAAGTGGCACGGGCATGCCTAAGAGCTGGCTTCCAGTGGGGCAAGAGGCTCTGCGGTATATTCTAGGTGTAGTTCGAACCCACTCGTTGAGACAAAACCACTTCAGTCCTTAATTATTGAGGGTGCTGGAACATTCGTGAAACATATCATTAAACAGCATGGTTGGGCTGGACCAGATTTGGGTGAAACATGGTGATACATGATGGGGTTATGCCGAGCATGGCGAATCAAGCAAGTGACTTGCTTACTGTACTGACCAGCCAAGGAACGCGCCTCACAAGATGGCTGCTCGACTACGTTGAGTGTCAAGCTGCAAGCTTGTTTCCGCAGCTTGCAGTTTCATTGTTTGCTCCGTCCACGAGAGGCTTGTCTTTGTTTATGTGGACGACCATTTTCCATCATCGGAGACGGTTCCCAAAACCCAAATGCCCTGCTCTGCAGAGATCGGTGCGGCTGTGTTGCTTTGTTTCTGCACGTAGCCGACGTAGCCCTGCCTTTCAGGTGACATCATTGCCCCCGGCGGTGAGTGGCGGGAGTTCTTGCTGTACTCGGCGCAAGATCAGAGTCCCGCTACAGCCAACCCCGAGGCGTTTTCGGCGATACCTCTTCTAAAATCCAAGGGAACAAAGCCAGGGACTCGAAGCACCCACAGAACTGCAAAAGTTCGCCAGACCCTCAATAGCAAAGCACAGACAAGTCGTTGTGAAATGACCATCAGAGTTGCAGGTGCTGAAGGCCTTTCCGAAGACCTGTGAGCTGCTGGAGAACTTGCTGCCTGGCGCAGTGGCCATGGCAAAGTTTGGGGTGCTGGGCCCCAGCTGGCAGTCCGACATCACCGCGCTCGTTTCATCAATCTCATATCATTCCTTCCCCCTCATAGTAACTCCAGTCAAGTCTTATCTTCCAATCTAGCCGCTCTAGCCCTCCAATTGCAGTTTGGCAAATAGCATGTTGACTTTGGCCTGCTCAGTCATTTGATGGAGCTTGAAGAGGTTAATCTCCACTCCTGCGAGGGTCTACCTGATGTGGATTCTTCATTCACCTCGATAGGTGGGGGAGATCATCCTCTCAGCCATCGCACCGGGAACGAAGCTCACGCCTCATTGCTGCTTGCCTGGTCGGTTCGGTTGGGCGAATTTGGAGGATATTTTTTCATTTTTTCCCCACCTGTCAGGTGAGGGTTGTTAAATTATGTCAGCTCGTGCCCTCCTCCTCCTGCTCCTCCTCCTTCTTGTTCTGCGCGTCGTCCTCAACCGCGAGCCTTGGCTGGTAGTGTTCCCGCCGGACCTCAACTGCAAGGGTCGTGTGGGTGTTCCCCGCCTGACCTCAACCAGCGCACAACCACAAACACACAATCACAAACACACAGTGACAAACACAAAACCACAAACATAAACACAATCACAAACACAATCCCAAACGCATCCACAAACACAGCCACAAGCACAACCACAAACACATCCACAAGCACACAGTTACAAACACACAACAACAAACACAACCAAAAACACAACCCCAAACACAATCACAAGCACAGCCATAAACACACAACCACAAGCACAAGCACAACCACAAACACAATCACAAGCACAGCCATACACAGCCACAAACAGCACCACAAGCACAACCACAACACACAACCACAAAGACACATATGCAGCACACAACCACAGTCACAGCACACAACCCGAGGACCCACAAACAAAGTCGAGAACCACAAAACTGACGAGCATGGTAACATGCTCCTCACCATGGCATGAAGACAAATGATTGACATCTTATGGTGGGGATCACTCGAAGTGGAATAGTGGAGTATTTTTTTTAAAGTTCGGGAGGGGGTAGGCCGTAGCTAGGTATCTAGCAGCTTCAGTAGCGACCACCTAGGACGCAAGATAGTTCACGCTTCTTCCAGGAAGCTCTCCACGCCTGAGGGCGGGGGGGGCTTCCTTGAAGAAGCGCTCGCACTATTCATTTGGTTCCTGGATTTTTAGGGATAATTCTCACTATGATGGTTCTTCCGTACCTTCAGGGGTGTAAGCCATGGATGAGCCGTCAAACCGCCTGCAGCGATGGTGTTCATATCCATTTGTTTGTGCGGAAAATACTCTGCCTCAGAGCTCGCTTGGCTTAAGGCGCCTCCAGCAATGTCCGGCTGACCTGCCACTTGGGTGTGATCTGCCCAGAAGGGGCTCGAGTACGTGTGGGCCCGACCTGGGGCACCTGGGAGGAGAGGGATGGAAATTGTGAGACGGAGTTTAAAGTTGACCTGGCATGTGCCAGTCTCTTTGGTGTCACACTGGCCATACTTCTGTCGTATGTTTGTCACGCGGTTTGCTTCTTTTTTTTTGTGTGTGTATGGGCCACTGGCCAAGAGGAAGGGAGATGCATTTTCTTTGACGACAGCTACGAGCACGAGGCACAATAATGGAGCTTTCCATTCAGAAATTCGTGTAGAACGCTGAAGATGCTGTGCCCTTGGAAGGTTGTCAATGATGCTGATGGAGTACGGCATCTTTGCCGCAAGCTGTTCCCGGAATTGTTCTTCCCCAGTGGAACAATGGGTTATTCATGGTTATTCAACTATTGACCTGTGTTGAGAGCGTTACGTGTCATGTGTTAGGCAGCCAGTGCTTCTGCCAGTTTGATTCCTTGTTTTGGGATCGGTGGACCTGCCAAGGATTGTGCTCCTAATCCGCTTTTGGCATCCAGAGCTCCCCTCTGAACGCTGGAGAGATACTCTTGACGCAGGGATGGAGGAGAGATTTTGCCGACAGTGCAGGCTCTGACTGTTGAGCTGGCGGAATCACTGCCGACTTGGAAATAAGGGCAATTGTCCAAAGCGTGCGAATAGAACTGCTCAGAAGAAACGTTCCTTGGGGCATTTGTGGCCTTTGCGTTCAATGCAGTGTCCATGCTCATTGGTGGCTCTAGCGTGGTTCTTTGCTGGTTGGAATAGGTATATATATATAGTATTCATTAATAATAGTATGTAATAGCCAGCAGTGGAAGTATGATGTGACTTTTCATGGAGCAATAATGCAGGAAGAAGGCAGGCAGAGCAGCAGTTGATCAGTGTGCAGCATACCAAGGTGATCTCAGATAAGATTTGATGAAATTGTTTCTTGTCGACATGTTTGTAGATCTAAGTAGTAACAAGAAGCTACTAGTAACAAGTGCATCGCTTCTAGTAACAAGTGCCTTACTAGTAGTAACAAGAAGTTATTTGTAGATCTAACATTTTAATATCAATATCTAAGGCCGGAAGGTTATGCCAGGGTCTTTGAATGCGCGTAATCCACTGTACCTGGACCTAATTGCCATGCCACAACCATGGACCTCTCGTCAGGACTATGCTGCCATGATGCGGCGGCGTGTGTCGCCGCCAGCAAACCCGGCCGTAGTCAAGCTGTGTGAGGCACATTTGCAAATTCTGCGTTTGCTTTACGGTCTTTCAAAGGATTAGCATCACACTGTGCAGGAAACCGCACTTTTTGACGGGTGCTTCTGGCAGGAGCTGGCTGCGAGCTCGCTTCAGGTGAACCCAGCACCGGTGCCTGCAGCAGAGCGGCTGCTGAAAGCGGTCGCTGGAAGCAATGAGTGAAACGGCAAATTATATCAAATTATCAAAAGCATGGAGCAGCGATCAAAGACCGTCGTTTTGAAAGGCAAATTGAATCTTCCAGTCTTCGGGGTGCAGCAGCATCAGCAGAGATTCACTGGATTAGCATGGGTCAGCATGAGCATCCCCCTTCTGACAAGGACGCGCCTGACTTCGCTGTTGGAGCTGAAAGTGATTTGGGTTTGCTTGATGTGCCGGATGATCTCTACTGAATAGTAAGTGGCCAGAGAAGTGAAAAAAGAGTGCATTGGGGGGCGGGCCAACACTCGGCTCCAAAATGGTGGTTGCACTCCCAAAGAGTCTTTGCTCCCATCTTCAAAGGGCCCTAGACTTCAGTAGGGCTGGAGGGCTTTGTCATCACTGTTGATTAGCTTTTGATTTCGACGTGCCGCTGCAAGTCCGGTAGGTCTGACAGCTGTGGACATGCGTAGCCTCCACGAGCGAGCCTGAGAGAGATATAGGAATTGCGGGTTTGGAGATTGCACTTGGCTTGGAAGCCATGCTTTGTAAAGGGATTTCAGGGAACGTCGAACAGAGCAAACAGCGCACAGGCAGGTAAACTTCCTCGGCAATAGGCCTCAATGACTATTGCCACTGAACTGTAGGTTCTGCAATTTGTTGATAAGCTGGCTCACCACCACCTCACTGGTTTTGCCTCAGGCTCCTCGTCTTACTCTGTTTTGTCCGCTGCTCCGGGCGTTGTCAGACAAGGACTCTTGCGATAGCCGACATGTGGAAGACGACGTCGAACATGTTTTGAACACTCGTGCGCATCAAAAAATGCTTAGGAACTAGCAACTAGTTGCTGCTACATGCTGCTACCCCCCGTTCAAGCAATCATCATTTCAGGATGTGGGCACTCGGCGCTGCGCAGCGGAAGGCTTGCTGGAAAAGGCGGAGCAACTCATTCGTTTGCCGCAGACGGTGTGGCACGGCTACGGCCAACCTGCTGGCGTTGGCTTGGCTGCCATCCGCACTGCCTCTGGAGACGAGGACGGACATGGAGGGATTTTCTCACCGTTTCGCGTCGTGCAGGAATTCCCTTGAGTTGTCCTCTCAGGTGGAGGCACTCTTGATGGAAGTCTTGCAGGAAAGTCTGGGCCCAATGTAGACTCTGACATGAGCTTAATCAAGCTGCGATTTACAGGCACTTCAGGCCAGGTGAAGAAAAGGAGGCCATTGAGAGCATCGAACCGTTGCCTTTCTATTCTATTTCGATGCTTCGAAGGTCGAGACTGGTGGTGCTTCCGTGCCGTCAGCTGGCTAGAGGGGCAAGAGTTGCAACAGATAAACTGGGCATTTCACCTTGCTTACTGTCCAAGAGTAGTCATGAAGTAGCTTGATCTCCGACCTTGACTGAGGGCGCCACTTTAGCACTCTCCTTGTCAGGCACCTGCCATTTTTGCTTGCTTCGCTTTTGAAGGGCTCATGTTTTAAATCCGGCACTCAGCCCGCCAGGGAGTGCCAAGAACAAAGCGTGGGACATGCTATTGGACAGATTCTGGCTTTCGTTGAGCTGCTGCAGACAACTAGCAACTAGAAGACACATCTAGGAATCGGGGTGCAGCATCATAAGAGCAAGTTGTGTGTGCTGTGCTGCTTTTGCTCCAGCCAGGGCTTCGCTGAAACCAGGCAGAGCACCTGTTAGGGGATGACGACATCACAAACCTGAAGGTTGTGCATGCAGGTTGGGGGTGTATGCAAGGGGACCTTCTGCACCTCAGGCCTTTTTGTGAACAATCACACTTTCAGTTGTTGAAGCTAGCTTCTTGGCATCGGCTGGGGTGGCCGGATGGCTGACTTGGAGTTACATCCACTACTCACTGTGGAGGGTGCAGTCACTGAAGAGGATGCCAGGCTTGACGGCTCGCAGTACCACACCTTCATTTCAAGGTTCAAGGAGCACGAGGGTGAAGCAGCATTGCAGATTCAGAAGCATCCAGATGAGGCACGTCCAGGCCGGCCAACTGGGGACTTGTTTGGGGATTGCTGTGCTGTGCTTTTGTTCCTCATTCGTTTTCCAAACGGGTACAGCCTAAGCAAACAGTACGAGGATATATACAGTAATTATCAGTAATTGCTTTTTCCTGGAGGCGTCCGGGCAGGAGAAGAAGTTCCAAGTGGCCTGAGGGTGTGGAACGATGCAAGCACCCGCAGAAGTGCCATGAAGAATGGAGCTGGATGGATTTGTGAAGTGAAGATAGGAGCGAAGACCAGGAGCAGATGGTTCAATGTGCGGACCTGGGGAAGTTGGCGCCTAGCATTTGTGCTGGCAAAATTGCAGCGGATGGTTTGGGAAAAAGAAGAGTGCCAACCTCCAGTGCAAGGCGAGCGGCCGAAGCCAGTTGCAGTTCGGCCCAGACCTGAAGATGTCCAGCCCAAACCTGCCCAGCGCAGGAGGCTTACAGCTGCTGGTGACATTGCAGCAGCACCCGCTGAGGCGCGCCCCGCGGTGGTCCCTTCGGCACCAGCACCTGTGCCCGCACGCACACCGGAGGTGAATGCCGCCAGCAGCATGAAACGACCCAGGGATGAGGCGACCGCAGAGGAGCCGCTGGAGCCAGCCCGTCAGCGTTTCGCCGAAGCTGAACGACCGCAGACCAAAGCTCTGAAGAGAGAGCCTTGGCGGTCACAATAGGCACAAAACCTAAATATAAACATCTCCAATCAATCACTCCCAACCTCTCCTTTCATCATGACTGGACTGGTTACTTACTTACTTACTGTACCTTTATATTGTCAATATGTTTAAATCATGCGACGGGGCATTCTCCCAAGCATCAGGCTACAACCCCGGGTGGTGGCAGCGGGGCTGCGGCTGCGAGCTCTCGCCCACGCTGGCGGCAGTGCTTGGATCGTTCGGGTGGAACCTGGGCGGCGAGAGCCTAGTAGCTTCTTGTTCCTAGTAGTAAGGCCAGGAGCCCCTAGTAGCTAGCGTCCTTGCTCCTAGTAGCGATGCCAGGAGCCCCTAGTAGCTTCTTGTTCCTATATAGTAGCCAATTTTTATCCAGTCCCCACCAAAAATTACGCCAGCATAGACCCCAGATAGCCAAAGATTTTTGTGGGCACCACCACAGCAGCGGCACCCTGCAGCGGCACCAACAGCAGCGGCACCCTGCAAAGGCACTAGCACCCAAGCTCCAAAGCACACATGGCCTGAACATTTAGCAGCCGCGCCTGCAGCGGCACCAACACCCAGGCCCCAAAACGTACAAAGGCACCTTTTCCCATTCTTGAAGTCAGAACCCCAGTAGCTCTCGCTGTTTGGGGAAGCACGTGTAGAGCCATAGGCTATAGGGTTTTGTATCTTTAAAACAAATATATCTAAATATACATAACTATACATTGTAGTATGGCCGCAGATGATTTTAACAAATTCCGAGAGAAACAGTAAGGTGTGTCGGGACACCTCGTACCATAGTTCTTGCAGCCTTTGCTTGCCAACCTTTTCCACACCCATACAAGAGCCAACAACAGCAGGTGCAACATAAATACGGCTCTGGTCACGTCATCTCTGATTCAGATCCACACTCATATTTAGACTCTTATGCAGTGTGCTTTCCAGTTTGCTTGCGCACTTGCGCACTGACTGTGTGCATGAGGCATTGCCAAAGGCCAGGTGAGAAAGTTCATCGATTGCATGGATTCAGCCCTGGACCTAGAGACAAAGAATGGCATGATCGAAGCCCTTCGCCTCACTGAGCCCAGTCCGAGTCGGCTCCTTCGCTTCGTGAACCAGGGCGGCATCACGAAGCTTGCAGGGAAACCCAGGAACTCAGGAAAGACTCTTGACCCATGCATGGATACCTATATGCAATCCATGGCATCCAGGCTTTCGGAACCACAGTTTTGGAAGCTTAGTCACAGTTGATTTATGTTTTTTTGCTTCAGGTCTTTTGGCTTGAGCGTGCTTTGGCGGAGCATGGCGCGGCGGTGCACCATTTCATTGCGAACACGTTGAAATCAATGCAGGTTGTGTTAGTGCCCGGGCGGATTGACAAGCAGAAGATCGGAGAAAACGCTGTGAAGCACCTCTTGGTTATCTTCAGGCAGGCGAAGCAGAGAATTCAGGCTGGGCTAGTGTATGATTAGGGGTTATTGATATTAGGGGAGTGCATTGGTGGTTTCGGGGTTACATAAGCCTTTTATATAGTTCAAAGTCGTTTCACAGAAAGCCAGCTTGGAGATGCACACAGGTGTTTGTTACCTTGAGGCCCCGAGCCGACTTCAAATGCGAGCAGTGAAAGCCACGGCGACAAAGGCTGCTCCAGCAAAGACTGTGACGAAGGCAGTTTTGCCAGTACCTTTCGCCCCACCTGACGCGCAGGCATCACCTCAGCCAAAGACACCACCCCTAATGACACCAGAATCACCAGCAGAATCACCAGCAGAACCACCAGCAGAACCACCACCAGAGAGCGCACCATCCTCCAAGACAGCACCAGCAAGAGCACTGCCTCAGTTGAAGACAACCCCATCACTGCTCTCCGGTCCCATACTGATTCCCTCGCTGGCTCCACGACCCAAAGTGCGGTCCAAACCGGAGCTCAGAGCAAAGCCATCCGCCAAGCCCTCTGAGATCGTAGATTTGTCGGAAGCCACAACCAAAGGCACGCCTGGTAAGCCCCAACACGGTCAGAGTGCACCCAAATCCACAGAGCTGATAGCCGACGAGGAGGAGGTTCCAGTTTTCTGTGCACCCCTTGATGGCCGACCAGAACCAGCCACCCCGAAGGCTGTTGGTGTTGGGGTTGAGACGGAAGATGTGGATCAAAAGATGGAGAGCAAGCCCGAACATGCAGCCACAGAAGAACCAGAATATACAGCGATGTTAGTTGAGAACCAAGTCTTCACAGAAGATGTTCCCCGGCCTTCGGTTCGTTTGGCCAAAGGTGTTCATATCCCTCCCCCGAAACTCACACCAGCAAAAAGCCGGGGAATCTTCAGACCATTGACATGGCCAAAGGCGGGGCCGTCGAAGCCAAAGCCTTTACCCTTCCCACTGGGAATCCGAGCAGGGCGCCCTGCTCAGCCCGCGCCCTTCATACTGGCTGCGGGGAAACCAAGGCCGTTGCCCTTTCCCATTATACCCAAATTGCTGCCTGTTACCGTCCCTCCGGAGAAGGCAAAGCCCAGCGTGTCTGCATACCCAAGCGGGCGAGTGGCAAGCCCAAGCATCAGGATGGATGAGCCGAGCGAGTTCGAGGTGAAGGACCAACCTACTAGCGATGGCCACCAACCTAGCAAGGAAGACGAGGTCAAGGAGGATGAGCTCAAGGAGGATGATGCGAAAGACGAGTCTGCACCTGAGATGTGTACTGCAGAGCCCTTCATGGAAGCAGAGGAGTTCCCCATCAAAGCACAGTTGGACCCACCCACAGCGGAGGAGTCGTTGCGAGCAGTGACCCCGAAGGCGAGAAGTGTCTAAAGATGTCTAATAGAGTAACAGAGACATGCAGGGATCAATAAGCACCCCAGGCCTTTCGATGTTGTTCCATTTGCCATTTGCCTTGCAGGTAGCAGCTGCCCGGCCAAAACATGCACACCTAAAGGTGCCGCTACCAGAAGCTGCAGCTGCGGCGGTCAAAGAGCCAACCCAGGTTGAGAGGCATTTGGAAGCTCACGACGATGGGTCTCAAGAGGAAATGGCTCAACAAGAAGCCTGGTGGTGGTGGCAGCAACAGCAAGATTTGGCAGAAGCTGTAGCGCCTGTGCCCGATCCAGAGCCAGATGCGAGTGCAGAGGCGGAAACAGAGGGTGAGTGGCAAAGCTGGGCTGAACCGGTCGGCCCCCAAGACTCAGAGGCAGGTCATGAGAAGGGACAGTGGAGTGAGTGGAGCCAAGAAACCCGGGAGGAAGATGAAATCGAATTCACAGATCCCCACCTGGACCTCCCCACACCCCACTCTTCAGAGTTGGATGAGTTGGAAGCTCAGATTTCGGTCGAAGCTGAGCGAGTCCAAAAGCTGGAGCAGAACCTCATGATACCAAGCCCAGCCGATGGTGCTGACAGTGACACTGAAGAGGAAAGCCCCAACGAAGCGCAGGGATCGCAAGATCACCTTCAGACTGAAGCTACTGAAGGTGCTGGGGCCCTGGAGGTGATCCAGCGCTTAGGCATCTCTGCCGAAAACCTTTTGGTAGCTCCTGCCACGCCACCCATGCCGAAGGCCACCGCAGCTCCAAGGACCCCACCACTAGCGCCTGAAGGGCTGAAGTCATCACTCTTTGATCAGTTCATGACTGCTCCAGTCACACCTCCCAGGGCACGAGATCCAAAGTCGCCCAAGTCCAAACGAGCGATTGGAGCCAGCCCTCAAGTTATCCCGACCTCTGACTCCGATTGGTCTGAGAACGTCGCGGAGAAGGATGTGACCATGTTTGCCAGTTCGTTAGAGGAACTGGTGCAACAGAGTCCAACTATTCCGGTGAAGGTGCAGCAAGATGACGATGGACTCAGACAGGCTTTAGTGAAAGCTCTTCTCAGCCTCAGCTCGCAGCTTGGCTGAGAGATGCTGAGACAATTGAACTGTTGTTTTGATTTTTCAGGATTGTTCCTTGTTCTGATTTTGGAACCTTGTCCAGACACTTTTGAATATGCCTCCCTCACATGTTATTTGGTTTCTATGGTGAATGCATTGTCCCTGCTAGGGCTCCAACGCTGGAGGGGGCCGTGCCAGAGAATCCCCACGAGCCTCAGATCATCGCGGACAGTGGAAAAAATGCCTAGTCGATGTCTCTGGTCTTGTTTTGCGATGGGCAGAACACGGCATACCGTCATGTCCCACCGTGGTTGAACACCTCCAGGACGAGACCTGTTCTGACATAACCTGTTGGACCGGCCGTGAGGATCGCTTGAGCTTTTCCTCTGGGTCGGCCATTGCTCGAGGCCAGATCAGATTATGTCCCTTTGGCAACCTTTGGATGTCTTCATCTGTCACACACTTGAGTTGGTTCGATTTGATGCGAAGCTGAAAGAGCATGTGAAACATCATTGGCATAATGATACTGTAAAGTGAAATACCTTTGGGAAGGTCCCTATGACAAGAACCTACTGACAAGAACCTACAGTATCACACTGATCTGCCTGTTGAGCCACTGGCCATTCCTTCAGCTTATCAAGATGCTGTTGACAATGCTCGCCAGAGCGGACCGCGTGGAGATTACCAGCTTGCAATCGTGGTTTTCGACGAAGTGCTCTCAGCACGACTAGTTGTACCAGTACATGTACTGTAGTTTGGTTGAGGTTTTTGCGCAACATGTAGTGAAGAGTTGCCATGGAGGTGTATGCTGGAATAGTGATGAATAGTGCGCGCTTTAACGCTAAATCCCTAAGATAAAATCATGAGCCATGATGCGCAGCTCCTGGAGTATCGACAGAGGCAGCAGGCCCGGATGGCAGTGGCCTGGTTGCAGTGGATATATAAGGTACAGTAGCACTTGTTACTAGTAGCTTCTTGTTTAGTTCCTAGTAGTATGGTGCCCTGCTACTATTAGCTTCTTGCTACTAATAGCGATGCACTTGTTACTAGTAGCTTCTTGCAAGTCTTTTCTGCCAAATGGTGTCACGATTCAGGGGGAGCTGGCGGACCAACGGAGCAGGAGACTCTGCACAGAGATGAACTGCTCGTCGGCCGGTTCCGGGTGCCAGCCCCTCGTAGGTAGGATTGGTGGCTTTGACACTGGCACATTATGATCATTAGGGCACATGCATGGTGACCCGGGTGATCCCTTTGCTCTTCGGCTGTTCTCATGAAAAACTAGCCGTGTTTGAAGGCCGCCTGGAGCTACGGTATTGAAGTTTTCAGGCCCCGCCTGTCTCCTTCGCAGGATGCAGCCTTCCGGGCCCCTCAGACCATCGACAAGTGCCAAGGAAGCTAGCTCACTTGCATGTTTGAGTTACGAATTCTTGAAACAAAGAAAGGACGAAACCTGTGGCACATCGTGGAACCCTGTGGTTTCTGCCCCCTGACTGAAGGCGCTGGAGGCACGGCTGCGGACGCAAGTGTCTCAGGAGATGACAGAGGAGTTGCACGGAGGCCCAGATTGCTGCCAGGCATGGCCGGCCGGGCAGCCATCTTGAAAGCAAGTATATAGTCGGTATGTTTTGCAAGAGCGCATGAAGCCCATGTCATGTGCAGGGTTCTACCTTCGTTGATAGTGTCCAGCAGTGAGACCAGATGAAATACGAGTCCAGATAGTCCAGGCATCTCAGCGCGTTCTCAGGCAGCATTCCATTTTCCAGTGGGCGCTTTTATCCCGACTGGGCATTGAGGCAGGACTGTGTCCCGATCTGGTCCGGATGATGGTGGTTCCAGAGCCTCTCAACCGAGAGAATTGAGCAACCCAAGCAACATCAAAATGCGGAGGTGTGGGGCGAGGCAGAGGAAGAGGGGGTGGAAGAAGAGCCGACTTTTCCCAGCATCTTGCAGATGCTGCTTGGGTCTATATAGAGTGCGTCACATCTCACTCCCGCCCCTTTTATGTCAAAGAATCCCATGGGGAGATCATGGTCACTTGTTCTCATGGACATGTGTTTCTCTTGGGCTCGTGTACTTGGAACGGGAACACCGGAACCCAACTCGCCAAGGTTGCCTTGCTTTGGAGGCAGGAGCTTATCCACTGTACAGACTGAGTTTCCCTTCCTGTACTGAATGGCTTGGTCTGTTGTCCACGGTTGCCCAAAAGCATCGAAGAGCAATCAGTTACAGTTTGCGTCTTAAAACAATCACCTTTTGGACATTTAGATGGTGAGCCCCAGCTCAGTGTTGTTGGCCTTTCCCCGATGTATTCAGACAGTGTCCCTGAGGCCGCCGAGCCTTGTACAGCGGAAGCTTACCAAGCACCAGCTTGCCTGACTTGGGTCACTCTGCTGAAGCGTTTGACAGCCTAAAAGGCAATCGCCATTATATAACCTTTACACAATTGATCGACATTGCCTGTCACGCCAGGTTTCGCGTTCTATTTTTTTCTCCAGCTGAGCGCATCTGAGCGCACTGGACTCACATGTCGATCCGATGCCGCGAAGGACCTTTGCTCCGATGCCGCGAAGCCGTTGAGGCAGGATTGGGCACTGAAGGAAATAGGCCGCCTAATAATAATGTTTAAGACTTGCTTGAGGTGGTTGTTGGTTGAAAGCCCCGAGCGGGTAATTCAACATTACTGCGAATAGTCCAGAATTTGCAACAGTTCTTTTGTGGCAAACCTGCACACAGCATAGTCAAACACTCAAGTCCCTGACTGTCCAAATTGCCCGAGACGTGGTGATTCAATCGGAGTCTATTCAGTGGAAGCTATCAGGCACTTTTGCTGAGTGGTGGCTGCCGAGATTGGGTCCTTGCAACTGCCCACCTGTGCAGGTGCCTTGTCGTGCATGGTATGGGTGGTTGTGACAGGCAGGCCAACAGTTTTGGAAGCGCAAGCCCAGGTTGCTGAGAGAGAGCCCAAGCCTTTTGCAAGGCGGCTGGCAACTACAACTGGCAGTGGCCACATCTCTGTGCATGGCGGAGGGCAGAGAGATGCTGCTCGCCCAAAGTCTTGTATTTTTGAAGCAAACCACTATGACTTTGAGCAGAGCCAAGAGAGCAGAGCAGAGCAGAGCAGAGGAGAGGAGAGGAGAGGAGAGGAGCGGAGAGGAGAGGAGAGCAGAGGCAGGAGAAAGAGAGAGAGAGAGAGAGCGCGCAGAAAGCAAGCTATCCGTGCAAGTGCCTAGGATGGACAGCAGCTTTCACGAAAGCGCAGTGGCTCCCCGGCCTCAGTTCAAAGAAGCTGCTGCAAAAGGGCCTTAAGTTGCAGACTTGAACCATGTCTTTGTCTTGGACAAAGACAAAGGTTCTTTTAAGGAGTGTCGTTGACTTATAAAACAGTTGCACGAGTTGCAGCTTGCCACGGCAACTGCTTCTACTGCTACTGCCGCTAGTGTCACTGATAATTTGAGCACAACCATAAAAGCTTGTCCTCAAGAAGCATGTTGTGAATGAGCCTTTGATGCGCAACAGTCAGGACTTTTTCAAGCGCTACCAGCACTACTGTGCCAATGCCGTGGCAAAGGAGCTCTTCCCGGAATTCCGATCTCTCAAAGCCTGGCATTTCAGATATGTCTTGGGCAGTTGGCATTCAGATGATGACTTAGCATGGCACTGCCCTCAGTTGTGCCACACGTTGGTGTCGTCCACGAGCTTCGGCATTTGTTTCGGCATTGCAAGGTCAAGGGCGAATGTGTCAAAGGAATACAAGAAGCCGGATGTCATTGGCCAGTCTGCAAGGATGGTGAAGTACAAACCTCACAACGAGCGGGTGCCCGGAAGATTCATGAAGATTCAGAAGATTGCACGTCGAAACCTGCGTCAAACTCTTTGTTCCCACAAAACCTCTTTGCGAATGGACCGACATAGGGATGGACCTTGGTGAATGGGACGCATGGATCACACTGAATTGAATCGCTAAGGACAAGGGCGTTAGTGTTCACGATGGCCTTAGATTCTACGACAACGAAAAGGCAACCATGCCACGCATTCTTAGCTACGGAGGCGTCGCGGGGTCATTTCAGGTTTTTGTGCTTTCATTGCGCTGAGCAGGCTGACGCATCTATAGTATACTGTCGGCCTTCATAGGTTCTACCACTGCAATATAGTACTTGTATGCATATGTGTGCTCATACTGCTCATCTCCATGTACCCTCCAGGGTGTATGTCAGGCTGAAATGGACGTAGGGTTGTAGGTAGGAGGCTCTTGGACGGACTTTGTTAATGTCGACCATGATTACATAATAATAGTCAAATTATTCTATCACAATCTATGCCCTTTGCTCCTAGTAGCTTCTTGCTCCTAGTAGCGATGCCAGGAGCCCCTAGTAGCGTTCTTGCTCCTAGTAGCGATGCCCTTTGCTCCTAGTGCTCTTGCTTCTAGTAGCGTCATGATTTTTCGATCTTGATGCCTCGAATCCCACGCGGAGGTGTTTGTGGTGCCGTCTCCAAGTTTGGCGCCAGCTGCTGCCAGGCCTTTGGGGTCCCAGCTATGCCGGTGGGGCAGCCGGGGCACTGTGCGATGATTTGGCGCGGACCGGGGGGCAGGTGGGATGCTGAGTGATTTCTTAACTTTAATGGTCTCTTGGTAAGGAGGGGCTAGTTTGAACTTGAAAACTGTAGGTGGTGCCTTGAGAATGATAATGGCCTCTTGGTTGCAAATGTGCACTGCGCGAGCATTGGGTGGTTGAGAATGTGGCATGAATGTGAGCTGAGGTGGCTGGAATCAGTCATGGATGCACGCGCCTTGATTCGCACATGTTGGGCCTTCCTGAAGGTTCAGTAGCAAGGATGCTACTGGGGGCTCCTGGCATCGCTACTAGGAACAAGAAGCTACTAGAGGCTCCTGGCCTTACTACTAGTAGCAAGGACGCTACTAGGGGCTATGGCTAAGTGATGGCACCGTGGGAAGACTGAGGACAAGATCCAGCGAACATGGCCAAAGGAGCTAGGTGGGGTGATCGGACTTGGGGGGCAAGGTCGGGGTCCTCATTATAATAGCAACCTGGAAATGCAACTGCAAAAGATGGTTCTGATATGATATGTATGGATTCTCAGATCAGCTGACTAGACACAACGTGACAAAGGGACATCCAAAAACATCCTGGACAGGTATCTGACGTTTGGTTTTGGGGGGTTCAAGTGCATCGCTACTAGTAACAAGTCAAGTGCATCGCTACTAGTAACAAGTGCCTTACTAGTAGTAACAAGAAGCTATTAGAAACAATAAGCTACTAGGAACAAGTGCATCGCTTCTAGTAACAAGTGCCTTACTAGTAGTAACAAGAAGCTATTAGAAACAATACAAAGAATTTAATTGGAATTGATTCACCATACCTGTCAGGGCGATTCGCTGAGCACGCTGGCGTCATTCCAGTGCCTCGGGTGATCGCCGACATGAATGGAACATGCGGAATAAAGATAATGTAGACTCTTGATTGATACACCACCCATTTGAATTGAACATCCTTTTCAAAGGCTGGGTATATTGGTCAAGAGTCTACATTAGGCTGTCTGAGGCGGTTGTGGCAGGACGTCAGAGTTCCAAACCGACCGGTACTGTAGGACCTCGACAAGGGGTAGGGACCTCGACTAGGAGCGAGTCATGGGCAGTGGCCGGTAAGTCACAAGTGTTCATCCGCCGCCATTGGTCAATTGGTCTTTTCTTGATGCAATACAGTAGTTGCTATAGTTATAGAATTGGAGTCTTGAACAAGTCGTTTGATGTAGAATTGTTCAAGGATGTGGGTAGTGGGGCCAAATCAACTCCCATCTCTGACTAAACTGCAACATTGCCTCAGGTCGCTGAGCGTGCTATAATGTCTGGGAAGTATTCCTGCAGCGAGAGCCAGCGGCTGGCAGCGAAGCAGCTTGGAGTTTGTTCAATCAAATGATATCGAATGACTCTATATCATGCTCAAATGGTATCGAGTGGAGGGCGGAGGGGCTCCAGCTTTTGAGGTTGTCGCCTTTAGAGACTGCTGCCGAGCTGCTGATCAATGCGGTGCTTCTATGTCCTGACAACCTTTGTGCCGCACAGTTGGATAATGTTGGAAATCTTCGCTGTGAATGGTGTAGAAAGCTGCCAAGAGATGAACTCCGAGTCCAAACATTTGCCCCTTGCTGCGCAAATGATGCCCAGTGGCTATCACCCCATAGCTGAGGCATGGGTCGATTTGCTGGCAGCTCCCTGTCTTTGAAGGACATTGACCCTGTCGGTTTGCATCCGTTGCTGCCCGCCTGGTAGCACTAGCTGATGCACCGCTTACAGTCTATCAATGGCCTTGACAGATTCTACTGTAGCAAGACGAGGCACCCGGGTTTCACTTTTCGGACGTCTTTGGTGACGATTCCCAAAAGATCATTGGACCAGCCTACTAGGAGCAAGGACGCTACTAGGGGCTCCTGGCATCGCTACTAGGAGCAATGTTCGCTACTAGGGGCTCCTGGCCGTACTACTAGGAGCAAGGACGCTACTACGGGCTCCTTGACCAGCCAGCCATACGGTTTGGGCTAAGGTGGCCACGCCACAGCTGGCGCCAATGCTCCACCCGCGGGTGGAAGCATTGGAGGCACTCGCTGCCAGCGGCCCATGGCAAGGTTCGGCGATGTGTTCCAAATCAGGAGCATGTTCCTTAGTCGCTGATTTCTCGTTCATTCTGTCAAAATCTACTTGATTTTCTTCCCTGAGGTCACGCAGGTGCTACCTGAGCTCCCCTTGCTTCAGATTGACCAGAGGGGCGGCTTTCCCAATTCCCTGAGATCGGGATTTAAGCGGGTTCAAATCCCATTGAATCCTTTATTTTGTCGTGGGTCCTTTCGGGTGCAGCTGGCAATGCAACCTTCAGGGAATTGCGAGTGCTTTCACGCGTTGCCTCCACTGCTTGCACCCGCTCTGCAGGAGTGCTTTTAACTGAAGTATCCTTTGTTTTAACAATGAAGGACTCTCAGTAGCTCACCGTCACTATTGGATTCATCATTCGAAGCCATTGCCTCTACCCTGCTGCTGTTTCTTTTCTTGCAGCCTCAGCCTCTTGGATGTCTCTTTCTTTCATTGCAACTACAACCTAATCGTCACGGATGCTCGTGCTCTCATTTCAAACCAGAGTCGTGCATCCACATCGGCTGCGCTCCTGCCTGTTGCATGTCTTCTCCGCTGCCGGTTGCCAACCATTGCCGCTCCACCCCACGTTACCTTTCGGCCACCCGCGGCACTGGCGAGAGACAGGCATACCATGCCATACCCCTAAGCACAAGGCATCATCGCAGACCTACTGTAGCCGACCAAAGGCTGAAGAACCATACGGGAGACGTACGGCAAGATGCACCGTTTGACAGGCGGTCGCGAGCTCTCCCTGAACTGCCCTGTGCGTGCCAGTGCAGATGTGGAGCGAGCCGGCCATGTGGTGGATGGCACAGACTCAGAATGGCCACTTGTCCAAGTGATTTCTTAAAGCTGCCCCGAATGATGAATCCTGAATGGTTTGCTCAAATCAGGACCCGCTTGATATCAGTTGGTGCCAAACAAAAGGTCGTGTTGAACAGCTTTACTGCGGATGTATACAGGTATATAATCAATTCAAAATCATGATGCCGCCTCGGTCCATTGGTGTGAGACTGCCCTACCAGAGGTTCCCAACAGAAGCCGCCCCACAGTGGCTGGAGATCGACCTCAAGAAGTTGAGTCAAGTCGATAGGGTCAGGGTGAAATGGTGGGGTCTTGGCCTCAGGCAGCTCAAACGTTGGAACATGAGACATCATTAGACCATGTACAAACAGGTGCTTTGCACCGATTCCTCTTGAGGTGACTATGGCAAGAAGAGCAGCCTGCGGGTCCTCTCACTGCTTTGGGACGAGGTGGCAGACTTCGACTATGCGGAGGCATCGGGAGGAAACTTGTTCGTGATGCTTTGAAACTGCTTTGAAACTTGTTACTACTACTAGTAGCTTCTTGCTCCTAGTAGTAAGGCCAGGAGCCCCTAGTAGCGTCCTTGTTACTACTTTCGGAGACATCGACCTTGAACCGACCCAGCTTTCCATGTCTTGCCGGTGTCGACCGGGTCACCCTTCCCGTTCGTCGCCGTTGGTCGCCGCAGCGGCCGTCGTCGTCCAGGCCGTCGTCACGAGCGTGGCCGGCGGACCCACGCGGCGGACTTCAATGGCTGGACGGAGCTGCCGGGCTGGGAGGAGCCGACCCGAGGCTTGGCTGTGAGACCGAGACGGAAGACGAGAAGTGGCGAAGAAAGGTTGAAGCCCAAGAGGGCCCTAACATCCGTTCATTCTAGAATTATATATATTTTTTTAAATGTATAGATACATATATATATAATATATATGATATATGTTATATTTGGGTACAACCTGGAGCCCCCTTCAATCTGTAGCTTGAGTATCACCGATGGGTCAACCAAGGTGTCCTGTTCTTTTTGAGGGTCAAAGCCCACAGCCATACAGTGCCAGGAAGGTTTCGATACTTCGACCACCTCGGGTCTTGGGTCCGAGGAGCGGTTCGCCTGGAGCTGGACCAGCCATGCCCCGACTGCTTCGGATTGAGCAAAAGCTCCTGGGCATGCACAGTGAGTTCTTGTCATCAAGCCTCTCCAATGAAGCCTCCCAACATCTCACTGCGTGTACGTACGAGTGCCGTGCAAAGATGATACAGTAAAACGTGTCACATCAAATTGGTAATTGGTAACTGTCATGCTGACCTTTGCTCCCATGCCATGCCTGGCCCAACTATCCTGCCACCACTGAGGTTACGGGATTCGGCGAGTGGAGGTCCTGGGTCACCACATTGGCAGCTCGGATCAGAGCATTTCTTGTTCCTTTAGGGGGGATTGTGAAGCATTCCTTCCAAACTTTCGTCATTTTGTTTTGAAGTTGGCTAGCGGCCAGCAGCTTTTGATCTTACATGATCTTACATGTATATAATAGCATAATATATATATATATGTGTGTGTGTGTCGTATATGTGTGTGTGATTATATGTATAGCTCTAGTTGAGTATTGGTTTCAAAGTTTTGTACCTCATTGGCTTCCGCAAGGTACTTCCTCGTCATTGAGCATCGGCTCCTTGTTGACACGACTTGCAGAAGCATCCTTTCCATCCCCACAGGTGGGACGGCTTGACAGAGGCGGTCACTTGCAGCTGACGTAGTCTTGTCTAGAATTTTGGCTTCAATGATATATGGATATTTGTCGAGCATAGAGCCGCGGACAAAGGGACACAAAAGATAAGACAGCGTTGATTTTGTGGAGGTTTCTTGAGATTCCCAGGGCTGCACCTTCTTCAGCACAGAGAGCTGTCCCAGAGAAAGAGGGAGAGAGAGAGACCTGCAGAGACCTCGCAGGAGCTAGCTGACCAGCAAGGCCTTCGGATTGTGACGGAGATGTTGAAAGGCTTCTCGGAATGACATCCAAGAAAGAAGGCCTGTGTACAAAGGTGATGCGACTTGACCCCCAAAGGGGGAACCAGAGGAGAGTCAATGCTTCAAAGAAAAAGGTGGCTACCTGCAATCCCGTTTGAGCCGTAGGACGCCATAGGATTCAGGCACCTCGCAATCCTTCTGCATCTTTCAGGCATTGGCAACTTGAATGAGGACTTCAGATGTACTGCGGTCTTCCTGACCTGTTGGAAGTTAGGATTCAGAAGTGGATTCAGAGGATTGATACATCCGTTACCAACCCGACGCACACACAATTCCCACATGGCAGTCCGTACGCCTTGGCATGCCTGAGCCTCAGATTTGCTTGAAGGATATTAGTACTTCTGCTGCAGGAAAGGCCCAAAAGGCACTTGCAGGCTATTCATACCAACACACCGCAGCCTTTGTTCAATGCAAGCCCTAGTTGGAGAACCGCTTTGACCTAGCAGCTTGGATGTGAAGCTTGCCCTTCCCAACCACCGTTGCATTGCTTCTTTCCCTTTCTTGAGTTGTGGCTGGTGGGTCGCTCCAATTTGTTGCAGAGTTGGGCAATCAAGTGCGGTCCAGTGAGAATAGCCTGAGAGGGTCCCGGCTTTTGCAGGCTCTCTGAGTTTTCTGAGGCCGCCATGGTTGTACAGATCAACTTGGAGGGTCGAAGCCTGTCTTTGCCGAAGACGGTGGTTAAGCGTGGAGCAGTGGATTGGAATTCGCAGGCGGGGATGATCCAAAGCTCCCCAGCAAGTTCGCATAGGTAACTTCCACGGCTATACACACACATGGAGACATGGAGAAAGTAAAAGAGCTGGGAGCCCTTGACGATGATTGGGAGTCACAAGGCCAAGTTTCAGCCTCAAAGTTGCAGGCCGCTGTGAAGGGCGTGCTGCAAATCTTGGATGGCGCGTGCCAAGCCAAGACTGTGGACGAGGTGGGGGTGCAAGTGTTCCATGCAGACTATATGAATGTTCCTAGTGAGAGCCCATCGCTTTTGGATGGTGGAAGTGTGATTGTAAACAGGCCTTGGCCGAAGTCCGGGGCTTTACCAGCCTGGGGCATATGATATGGGCCTATGCCTACTTGCGCATGCTGCATCACAAGGCCCGGGTATGCTCCCCCTGCCAATCGCTTCTCATGACAGCCTCGCGCCCACCACTCGAGTGATCAGGACCCCAACCTTTTTTACCGTACTGTGATGGCCGAGCCCTCTTTCCTCATGCCAATTGTGTACACTCCCACCGTGGGTGAGGCGGGGCGTGGCTGTCGCTGACAGGTGATGTGACCTGAATGGGGACTGCTATGGACTGCTTTGTGGATATTTTCTCTTGAAAGCCGGCCCTTACTTAATTAAGTAGATTAAGTATAGGCGCCCGAGTCATTCCATAATATTCCGTCTGAAGAGTCTGCAACTCGAAGAGATCGTAGTCGTAGTTGGACAAGTCTATCGTTGTTGAGGCTTGCCAGAAGTTTGGCCAGTTGCCACTCCTCCCACGGGGTTGTGCCTTGGCGGGTGCGCGCCATCGGTTCGGACCTATTTGGAAAAACGACGGGTACAGGGAGACCATTGGAGACCATGGGAGGCCGATGTCGAACTGATTTGTGCCAATTTGTGCTAAGGCTATGTGTCTTTGGCGGACCGTGGCAACCTAAAGGCTGTGCTGAAGGAGTACGCCGAAGCTTGGACTCACAGGCTTCCCGAGGGCGGCTGATAATGCCTTGAGATGCCTTGGCCGAATGCTGGAAGGAATCTCTTACAGTCGAATCTCCAAGAGGTGTGATGCTAAAGCGCCGTGGTGATCCAAGGATCTGATGCTTCCAAAGGATTCTGCTGGCAAGCCCCAATGCCAATGCATCGTTTTCTCCGATGGGGGGCGAATCCTGGGCCTCGGTGACCTTGGCGTGTGGGGCATGGGAATCCCCATCGGCAAGCTGGAATCTTGACTTAGACTCAGACTTAAACCATTTATATATTGTCATTGGGCAGCTGCATAGTGCCATTGATTCGATCAGACACCCATCATACACCCGTCCCAACTTCTGTTACAGCCAACAGTTACAGCCTTCGCACTTCTCAGGACTTGTACACCGTATGCCGCGGCCTTACAGCGTCATTCCGACCCCTTGTTTTCAATGACACTGTGTCGCAACAACATGGTGTTTTCTTCAACGTGGTGGTGGAGGCTAGCAAGTCAACCCTGGGACCCAGAAGTCTTTGTGCCGATAAACTGGCTTTTGAGGTGCAGGCTTCAACCCTCACAAGACCATGCCGGTGATGATCGATGCTGGTTGTACCGATGCCAATGGCAACGCTGCAAAGCCGGGGTTTCCAAGAAGTGTTGTGTGGGATTTGTGATATAAGAAGGGCATTACTATTAGTAGCTACTAGTAACTAGGGCAGATGACCCGCAGGTGAACATTTCAAAATCCGCTTGGTTGCAGCAACATGGTGTCAAAGGCTCACGATTCGCGATCATATCCTCTATCACGGGATGAAGGAGAACCGCGTGAAGCATACTTCCAAGGCAGGAACAGAGGCGCCTCCTGCTTTCAATTTGGGACAGTGTTTTGGCAGGAGCAACGCCGGTCATTTCAATTTAGTATTGGTTCCACGCAGCTTCTTCACTTTGCCCTTATGCTCAGGTGAATTCAGCCTACTATGGCGAAGACTCTTTCATCGGGGATGCTTCCCTTGCGGTTAGAAGTGGTCTTGCTTTGGCCCTCTTTCTCTGAGCCTTTTCTGAATCGGTGTGCAACGCATCTGAGGAGTTCATGACAGCAGCAAGGGACCTCTTTGGCCGCAATTGCCTGTTGCAATTCGAGGCCCTCGGGCGCCTCAGGGAGTTCGGAGAAAGGATTCCAGGGATTATTGTTGGTGTTTTCCTAAATCCCTACGAGATCATCAAGATCTCGGGTCGAAGGGGTTGGAAGTTGAAATTGAAGGATGTGGCCCCTGGAGATTGTTTGACCAGTTTGATCTGCCCACCTCTCCCTCTTTCCTTTTTCGCATCACGCGCCACATTCCTGCGGCCGTGTGGTGATGCAAGGACTTCAACTCAAATGATGCCTTCCCACTGCTGGAAGAGTACAGATTCTTGAAGACATGTGCGTGCTTGTGTCCGGACTGGCGGCTACGAACGGAAATGGAGCAACCACCCAGACAACACGGCGCCTGACTCAGGCTATTCATGTTTCAATTGAGTGAGTTGCCAAGGAGAGAAGTTTCTCACTTACAATGATGATATCCAGGGTACAGCCTCTATCATCGTGGCGGCAGCTTTGGGCGGCATTAAGACTCTTGGCAAGCAGTTGACCATACCAGTGGCAGATTGAGCTATTCTGTATGTAGATTATATATCCCTTTTGTGTTTGAACGCTTGTTGTGAGCTGGAAAGAAAAATGCAAAATATCAGCCGCTTTAGCCTATTGTTATTCCTTTTCGCCCCGAATTACTCAAATTTGCAGCGATGTGCTTTGAACCAGGCTTCAAAAGCCAGAATGCACAAGCTTGCTGAAAGAGCTGCAGGCATTCGCCGAGTGGGGATGCGCCCCATTGTGCGCAGCAAATTTGCTCCACATTGCCGAACTGGGACAGAAAGAGTTCCCAATGCTCCCCCATCTACGTACTTGTACCAAAGAGAGACTGAATCAAGACACGTCCTGGCTAGTGCATTCCACTCACTGGTTTGTCTTCCCTCCTCTCTCTCTCTCTCATTCAGTATTTCATTCTGCTGCCATGTCATGTTTATTTTCCCCAACGCAGTGATCTGGATTCTGCCAGGGGATGAGGGTGCTCTTCCATGGCGCTGGCTCAGCCAACCTGGGTGGCGCCCAGCTCTTGAAGGCAGAGGTCCAAATGGCACCGGGATCCGTGGTGGTCACCAACTCCAAAGGCTCAGCGGCCGAAACGACGGAGAGACATGGCAAGAGTGGAGGAATATTTATACGCTCCGGGACGCATGGTTTGGCCGCCGCCAATGGGCAAATCAACCAGGGCCTAGGGATTAGTTCGGCCGTGTCACTGTTATTCGGATGAAATTGCTGAGAACTTGACCATTGTTGAACCTTGCATGTTTAGAGTGAACACGGCCGAATTAATGTTGTAAAACCGCCCCCGTTCGTTCGCCAAAACTGATGCCAAAGCCTCAAACGACCTACTGTATAAGTTTCTTGTGAATTGCTATTTAGAGGAAATTTGCATAAATGTGCTGCAGGCATACTCAAAGTGCCTGGGAGGAAACCATCAGTCCTCGGCCTCGGGGTTACTTATTTATGAGGCTTACGCCTGACAGCCGGGCGCCGGCCAATTTGGGTTAGAGTCCGCGCACTGGATCCTCTCTCTCTCTCCCTCTCCCTCTCCCTCTCTCTCTCTCTCTCGCTGTCGGTCTCTGTCCCTGTCTCTGTCTCTGTCTCTTTCTCTGTCAGTCTCTGTCTCTGTCTTCTCTGTCTCTGTCTCGGTCTTCTCTGTCTCCGTCTTCGCTGTCTTTGCCTCTCTCTCTCTCTCTCTCCCTCTCTCTCGCTTTCGCTTTCCCTCTCCCTCTCTCTCACTCTCTCTCTTTCCCTCTCCTATTGAGCAAAGTTAAGCTATCTGGTGCGCATCTTGGCCCTAGGTTGGGCCAAGTTGAGCCCATGTGGTCTATGTTGGGCGCATCTTGGGCCCATGTTGAGCCTATGTTGGGCCTAGGTCGGCCTATGTTAGGCCTATGTTGGCCTAGGTTGGGCCTATGTTGGGCCTATGTTGGCGTATGTTGGCCCCATGTTGGCCTATGTTGGCCCTATGTTGAGCCATCTTGGAGGCTATGTTGGACATATGTTGGGGATATGTTGGCTATCTTGGGCCTATGTTAGGGATATGTAAGGCAACTCATGTGCCCAACACCCACGAAATGTCGATTAAGCCTGTCCGCGCGGCACGCGTAACCGACACCACGGGCACCCTGTTGTGGACGCCGAAGGCCACGAAACACTGTAAAAAGCGATGTTTTTGAACATTTTTCGAACATCCAGCGCAAGATACATATAAATCTGTCGACCGGATTCGGGCGGGGGTCGGGCGGGGGTATACGCGAGGTCCAACAAAAGGGTCGGCGGCAGGGGCGGCGAGCGTATATAACCTTCGGTTACCAACCGAAGGCCTCCGGCAAGGGAACGTGTGCGTGGCCGGCGCCCGGATTTATGAGGCTTACGCCTGACAGCCGGGCGCCGGCCAAGCAGGGTGAGGGTTTGTGTTCAACGGTTTCGCTCTTGGCCCTAGGTTGGGCCAAGTTGAGCCCATGTGGTCTATGTTAGGCACATCTTGGGCCCAAGTTGAGCCTATGTTGGGCCTAGGTCGGCCTATGTTAGGCCTATGTTGGCCTAGGTTGGGCCTATGTTGGGCCTATGTTGGCGTATGTTGGCCCCATGTTGGCATATGTCGGCCCTATGTTGAGCCATCTTGGAGGCTATGTTGGGCATATGTTGGCTATCTTGGGCCTATGTTGGGGAAATGTTAGGCAACTTCTGTGCCCAACACCCACGAAATGTCGATTAAGCCTGTCCGCGCGGCACGCATAACCGACACCACCAGTGCCCTGTTAGACGCAAGTCATGTCCGCCGAAGGCCACGAAACACTGTAAAAAACGATGTTTTCCACATCATGCGCAATCATGCTGGTAGATAAAATATAAATAACATAAAAATCCGTCAAAAATCTGTCGACACGCTTCGGGCGGGGGTATACACGCGGTCCAACAAAAGGGTCGGCGGCAGGGGCGGCGAGCGTATATAACGTTCGGTTACCACCGAAGGCCTCCGGCAAGGACACGGGCCCGTGGCCGGCGCCCGGATTTAAGGGCTGCCGCCCCTGCCGCCGACCCCGGATTCTCAGGTCCGGCTTTTCCTCCACTGGTTGGCATTGCGAGGGTTTTTCGAACAGGGGTTTCAGTCGTCCTTTTGAAGGTTGCTCTTCTGGAATCGTCGTTTCTTTCCGGTGTCGAGGTCGGTGCCCGTGCGGAGCGTTTCATTGCCTGCTCTCTGGATTGTTTGCTAGCATTTTCCACCACTAACCAGCCTCCCAAAAAGCATCTGAAACCACCCCTTCGCCACGGCTTTAACCCATTGAGTTCAGCCCCAAACGAGCCCCAATTCCTCGGACGTTCGGTGTCAAACGGACGCTCTGGATTCCTAGAAAAAAGACAAGTTGCTAGCATTTTCCACCACTAACCAGCCTCCCAAAAAGCTTCCACCAACAGCCTGCCAAAAGCTTTCCAGCCTCCCAAAAGCATCTGAAATCACCCCTTCGCCACGGCTTTAACCCATTGAGTTCTGCTCCAAACGAG